CACGAGTACCATTCAACAAAGATTCACAGGGCAAAAGTTAAACTGCAGCCATGGGATGCTTTTGCTTTCCACCATTTACAGGCAAAGTTCTGCACAGTTTGAAGCCAAAATACGATGACGATGTGGTGGATCGGTGCAATTATTTGCTTACAAACATTATGCTTGCGATTTGCGCCGTAACTGTTGCAGCAAAACAATATGTTGGCGAACCGCTACAGTGCTGGTTACCAGCTGAATTTAAGGTCATTTTCTCTAAATTACACAAAGTTGACCATCCGTAAGAAAAATTAAATTAAATTTCATACTTACAGTTCGGGGATGTAACACAGATTGCTTACTGAAATCTTCTAACTTCGTACATGTCACAAACTCCATCCTGTCTGACCTTATGTTCACTTTCAATCTTTCCAAAGAAATTTTTGCTTTCTTTTCTTATATATAACAAAGATGTTCAAAAGTGTAGACGAACAAATCAGCTTAGACTACCAATCACTAGTTAAGAAAATATACTTCTAATTAATTAGAATTTACAGTTCATACAGCTGTTACCAGCTGTGACCAACGATGCTTTGACCAATGCTACTTTGTCTAATGGTCAGCCTGCTGGTGATCTGATCCCTGTTTCGTCTGCTGAAGGGATTATCAGTTCAACGGTTTCGGGATGTTACTGGTATGTGCATGTGTGTATGCGTACGTGTGTATGTATGTATTGAGGGAGATTACCTAGTCTTGAACGCTGCCACTCCTGAATCACGATAAAATTATCGAGTAGAAGCCCAAAAAAGGTCTAGCTACAAATTCCTATTTGTGAACACATGCATGACTAACTAGAGGCGTGCAGCCTAGGATTGAGGGGTTTTTCATAGCTGCGCCCGATATATGAAAGCATCTCAGTAGCACCACTTACACAGGTTATCCATACTGATAGGCCAGGCGGACTTGGTACTCCTGGACATAACAAAACTGCAATGGAACAAAAACTAATAAGTGAAGTATGCTCTTAAGGTTAGTCGCCTTGAAATGTCATGACATTTGAATTGCGGGCATTGCTAAGAAAATGAAATTGTCCGATTTCCGGAATGCATTTCAAATAACGAGCTAGCAAGAATTTTTGCTCGAAGAAATGTGGACAATTCTGGAAATTCCAGCAAAAAATAAGGCTCTCCTGAATTTTGCTTTTTATTTGAA